AGGTTCTCACCACACTTGTTCTTCGATCCAATGATTTGGGAGTTGTTGAAATAAATATTTTGGCTGATGCATTGCGAAATAACAGGGTAAATATGATTCTTTCTTTATCCCTCTCATATCCACATCTCGACCTTTTCATACAGATACTTACCACACTTTATGTCAACTCTGAAACAATCGCACCACAAGATGTACAACATCTGGCGAATTCATTACGAAATAACACGGTAACTTTCATTCTCTCTCGCATGTAAATTTCTACTTTTTCAAATAGACGCTTACCCCATTAATTCTCAATTGGAATAGAATTAGAGTCGAAGGAGCAAAACATCTGGCTGATTTATTACGAAATAATACGGTATGTGTCATTCTTTTTTCATATCCATCATTTCGACGATAGCCACCTCTTCTCAAATAGAGATGGTAATCAAATCTTTCAAAATTATGCGAATAAGTATTTGAGAGAATGAAACACCATCGACCAAGCCGCCAAACTGTATAAAGATCAGTTCTGTAAGAGAAATTTCGAAGGCCATGATACTACCATTTTATCATTAACATGAGTAAATACGCAATGAAAGTGCACATTGTTATTTATAGTAATTAATAAATGTTCAAGAAAATATTTCAACAATAAGCATTTGAACTTCAACAGAAAACAATCTGGGTACTAATCTCATTTTTTCCCACGCAAGGTGTGCTCTTCTACGCATTGTTGTTAGAGAGAGACTAAAGCATTCTGATGTATGTTCATTTCAGGTTATTATCATGCAAAAAATTACTTTGAGATTAATAGTTCTCTTTGAAAAAGTGAAAACTAAAATGCGTGAGTACATCAGCAAACATGCAATAAATTACCGTTATCAGCTGTAATGAAATTTAGCATTCTTCATCGTTCATTTTAGATTATATTTCCAAGTAGCATAGTTTCAGACAATATCATCTTCATCTGAATTAATTTTTCCATAGGTTATTTTCGTAGAAGTCAATTTTTTTCTTGTCAAACATAAATATAAAATCAATCCAAGAGAAGCAAAAATAAATCATTTGATGGATTGAGTTATTTTAAAAAAATGATGTAGATTTTGGTTCTAATGATTCGCTATATCCGTCGAATCGACTCATATCGAAAATGTCCTAGCTCCGCTCTTAGCAGAAATCGCTACCACCTGTCAAACTTTCTGGAAATGCCATTGATTTGTACTTTTGCACACAGACACTCGCAAGACTAGATCTTGGGAACAATTGGGTTGGGGACGAAGGAATACAACATCTTGCTAACGGATTACGAAACAACATGGTAACTCTTATTCTCTATTCAACTCTTTCATATCCCCTTTTTCATACAGACACTTGTCACATTAAATCTCAAACAGAATAACATCGGGACTCTCGGAGCACAACATATGGCTATTGCATTACAAAATAAAAGGGTAACCGTTATTATCTCTTTATATGTCTCACTAGCATATCTCCACGCTTTCATATAGACACTCACCGCATTGAAGTTCCAACTCTGCCAAATTGGAGACGATGGAGTACAATATCTGGCTGATGCATTACGACTTAACATGGTGAGTATAATTCTTTCTTCATGTTTCTCACATCCACTTCACTTTTTTCTATAGAGTCTCACGACATTGAAACTCAAAAATGATTCAATTAGACAGAAAGGAGCACAACATCTGACTGATCCATTAAGAAATAACACGGTGATTCTCATTCTGTTTTTACCTCTCAAGTATCCACTTTTCTATTTATTTCCATAGGTTCTCACCACACTTGTTCTTCGATCCAATGATTTGGGAGTTGTTGAAATAAATATTTTGGCTGATGCATTGCGAAATAACAGGGTAAATATGATTCTTTCTTTATCCCTCTCATATCCACATCTCGACCTTTTCATACAGATACTTACCACACTGGACATTAAATACAATCAAATCGAGAACCAAGGTGTACAATATCTAGCTGATGCATTACGGAGTAATACGGTGACTATCGTTTTTCGTCATCGTTCTTATATTTATATCTATACTTTTTTGCAAAGACACTCAAGACACTAAATCTCACATTTAATCACATCGGAAACGTTGGAGTGCGGTATCTGATGGTGCATTACGAAGTAATAGGGTAAGTCTATTATACATTCAACTTTTTCATATCCATATTTGTCATTTTTCGCCCAGACACTCAAGGTACTAGATCTCTCAAATAATGCAATAGGATATTATGGAACGTCTCATCTGGCTGATGCATTACGAAGTAATAAGGTAAGTTTCATTGTCCCTTCATCTTTCTCATATCCACATTTGTCATTTTTCGCACAGACACTCATGACACTAAATCTTGCAAATAATCAAATCGGAGACGGACAAGTATACGATCTGGCTAATGCATTGCGTTATAACACAGTGAGCCCGATTTTCTTTTCATCTGTCTCTTATAGAAATCTCTACTTTTTCGTACAGGCAATTACCACACTAGATCCCGGAACTATCTCTCTCGTGCTCACATTGTCACCTTTTCATACAGACACTCACCATACTACAATTGGAATACAATGGAATCAAGGATGAAGGAGTGCAATTGCTGGCTGATGCATTAGGAAATAATACGGTCAGTATCGTTCTCTCTTTCATTTTTCATATCCAGATCTGTAATTTTTTGTACAGACACTCACCACATTGAATCTCCAAGCCAATGGAATCACAAATAAAGGGGCACAATATCTAACTGCTCTATTGCGAAATAATAAGGCAAGTCTCATTATTTCTTCATCTATTTTATATTTACATCTGCAATTTTATTATGTAGACACTCAGTAAACTGTATCTCTACGAAAATGAAATCTCAAGTGATATTGAAAGTCATTTGGAAACAATGGTGGCACGGAATCGACGACGAATTTAATGGTAGAATCCTGTCTGAAGACGGTTGGGGATGATATGAAAGAACTTTGTTAGTAGTTTACTATCTACTTTTTTGCATATTATTTTTTGGAAAGAAAATAAAAAGAATCCATATGTGATGGTGTTAACAAATATATTCATCAGATTATTTATTCACAGGATGTTTTTTTTTTCTTATTTTATCCCATTACATTATTTTTACAAGATTTCATTAAACTGNTAGGCCGACTTTCACCTGATATACCGGTTTTCGCATACTTCATATGAGTGAATTATCATGACTTTTGAAAGTTTGTTAGAAAAAAATATGTCAGAACCCTTACAATTTGGCATCAGGAAACCCCATTTTTTACGGGCTTTCATTTGGTATAAAATTCATTAGGGTTGGTATTCAGAATTGTAGCGTTACCCCCCTGGAATAATATTATTTCCAACCCTGTACATAATCCAACACGTTGTAGAGCTCGATAAACAGCTTGAGTAAAGTGAAAATAACAGGATGAATGTATTGCTCCAGAAAACTAAAAAATACAATTTTCAATTTAAATAAAAAATGTTAGACACTTACTTCAGCTGTGATAACACTTATAAGAGCAGGTTCAAAGTCTGTCATTATCGATTTTGGCGTAAAGTTCAATTGCATCTGTGTAGCTGTTGATTTTAACTCTTGAAACATAAAATGATATGTACCTTTCAATCGATTAGGTAATAAACCAAATACACAAGGAAATGCTAAATAAAAATATCATTAAATGGATGTAAATATTGAAATGTGAATGTATCCACTTACATTGATCATATTTAATAGCGTGTATTGTATATACTTGATCAAACATTTTAGGACAAGTTGAAAACGTTCCATCCATCAATATTTTATCAGAATTAAATAACAGCTTTAGTTGATTATTTGATGCAAATAGAATTATTCGTTGTCTTCTTGTAATCATTTTATCAACAATTAAAAAATCATCATTTCGCAATGTTTTTGTAAAGGTTTCAGGGATATCAAATAACTGTGTTGTAGGAATGACAGCTGTTATTGCACGACGAGCTTTATTTATTCCATTATCCTAAAATTAGAAAAAAATAAAAAATAATATTGAATATTTCCATAGAATATGTTCGTACTCATTTCACGTTCACTTGGTAATATAGCTATTGTTGCATTTGCTAACATTACTTTTTCACATTTTTCATCATAAATACGTGGAATGGGCGTTGTTTCATTTACTGCTCGTTGTTTTACTTTTTCACGAAATTCACGAACTTGAATAACTTCTTTCTCTGAAGGATGACTATGATCATCAATTGTTTTAAGTAACTTATCATTCAAATCTGTATGAATTTTAGAAGAACAACCATTATATGTACACTTCCAATATTTAGTTGTAGTTGTTGTTTTGTTTAGTTTAAAAACATATTCATTTGCTACTAATAAAGTTTTTCCTTTTTGTGATTTAATAAATGAAATGCTCAATTTTGGTTGAGTTTCTTCATTTGGAAATACGTTATTTGTTGCCATACTATTATCACTTTAGTTATTTATTTACTTCGAATATAGTTGTTTATTTAATCATTATCCATTATTAGTCATCTTTACTACTAGTGGTGAAAAATCTCGACTAGTAGAATTATAAGAAAAGAAAACATGCATTGTTCGAATTTACAGTTGTCATTAATGGGAGACATCGTTGTTTCTTTCATTTTTCATTTTTACATCTTTTTGTTTTAGAATTCATTTTTCGACATTTTTCCCCTTCGATATTTTTTTTTCGACATTTTTTCCTTTCGACATTTTTCCTTTCGACATTTCTACTACACACCACATAGAATTGTTCATCAAATTCAACATTTTTTTCAGAAAATGCCCTTCAGAGGTGTGGCTAGTTTGGATGCTAAAATCAGCCCTCTAACTATTATTTATTGCTCAAGGCCATGAAAATATCGTCGTTTTTTCACTTAAATTCCACATGGACACTTTCAGAAGCAATAAATTAAGCTGTTTTTTTGCTGTTAAGAACGCTATTAGAAAGTTATTCTTATTTTGCACTAGTTGGATGTACTCATAGTCGCAGATTTGGTAAAGAATGTTCGTTATACTGTAAAATGCTTTTTTTCGAGTAAAAAGGATCAATGAAGCCCAAGGAAAAAGGCAATACTCCATCTACTCAAAAGTAAACTTTGAAGTACAGGGGAGTATGTTTGGAGTACAGTGGAGTACTGCTAGAGTAGAGTGGAGCATAGGCAGCGGAGCCTGTAGGCTCGGTGAAGCTTAAGCCTCACCTGATTTTGGCTTCTGTAGGCTAAGCCTCACCGAAATTTTGAATTCGAAGTTCAATCGTTTCTATATGGCTTTAAATTTTTCTATAAATAAAATTTTGCTTTACTATGAAAATAAATATCTGGTAGGGGAATTTTCATGAAGCGACTCCCCCCTCCCCGCCTTGGTCTTTATTTCAAGAAAAAGAAATTCGTTTTATTTGTCCTGGACGTTCAGAAGAAGGTCAAAAAATCCAAGTTTTACCTGAAGGTGTCTATGAAAGTTTTAGTCCTCTATCCACTCCCTAAAACAATCGACAACACTGAAACTGAACCTCACCTAATTTTGAGAGCTTCCGCCACCCCTGGAGTGAAGAACCACTACAGTGGAGTGGAGTACCACTGAAGTATGATGGAGCATCACTGGAGTAAGACTGGAGTAGAGTGGAGTATCATTAGAATAGAATGGGGTACTGTGCAAGGAAGAAAAGCGACACTTCATCTACTCCCATACTTCATTAACTTACGAGGGGAGTACAAGGTATATTCTGTAGATGCTCTAAGGTTCTCAAAATCTATATTTTAGGTCGTCAATTGCTACATCATGGAGAACTCTTAGGTTCTCAAGACCTATATTGTGAGTGTATCAAGTGGGAAAAAAAGCAAAACTCTCATACTCCGGAGGTAGAATTGAGTACGATGGAAGTGTGGGGGAGTACAAGAAGAGTATAAGGGACGCACAAGAGAAGTGCAGATGAAGTTCAATGAACTACAGGGTGGCTCAAAAATCCGTATACCGAACAAAAATTCAATATCTTCCTTACAGCTACAGCAAACACGTTGATTTTTTTATCGATTCAAGAGGCATGTCCAAGATTTATTTTCATAAAGAAATGCCTAAGGAGACTCTTTGTTAAGTATTACTATTGACCTAAAAAAGAAAAATTTTACTTTTTCACAGGTAGAAAAGGAAACCGGTGTTCTTCACAGAGAGTCTCTCTAGGTATGTCTTTATGGATATGAAGCTTGAACATACCTATCTTATTGGTATAAAAGTCAGCTCGTTTGCTTGAGCCATAGTGGAGATGTTGAATTTTTTTCAACACAGTGACTTTTTATTCTGACTGTGAAAAAGTAAAATTTTTCTTGTTGAGGTCAATAGTGATACTTAATAAAGGCTCTTTCTCGGCACTTCTTTATGAAAATAAATCTTGAACATGCCTCTTGAATTGATAAAAAAATCAACTTGGTTGCTGGAGTTGTAAGGGAGATACTGAATTTTTGTTCGGTATACTAAGTTCTTGGTCACTATTTCGATTATCAATGACTTTTCAGTATCATTGTTTTCATTAAGCATGCTATTAACCAAAAATAGGATATATAACCAAGGGAGAGAAGCGAAAATGCCATACTGCCTCATATTTCCTGTGTTACCAGGTTATGTGATAACAATGGATGGCGCATATGGTAGGTATTTAATTTTTTATATGAAACTATGTCCATAGTAGTTTGACGCATTGAATCAGATGTTTCCCTGTTACTTGGTAGACTTCGACTTCTGGTGTCACATTGTTTGCGACATCATATGTTGATGTCGTTCATGAACCCAAATATGAGCCATACATAAATTGTTTACTATTTCCTTAGTAAAGTAAATACTGATTTATTGATGAATTCACAATATTTTTGTTCATGCGCAATATCAAGAAACAGCGTTGTCAGCACTGTTATAGCGAAAATTGAGTTCTACAAAGTGAAAATAAGACATTTGATCAAATGTCTCAAACTACTGTGGACATCGTTTCATACGAAAAAGTAAATATGTACCGTATGCACAACTCCTAGCCATAACTATGCATGAGATCTTTTAAGCTACTTCAAGTCTAATATTGACCTGCGTTAGGGTATATTAGCTGAAGTCCAGGCTAAGTAAGTTTCCCTCAATATCAAGTTTAAGCAATTCATTAAACTTGCAAATTCGAAGTACAATGGACTATTGGGCTTTATTGTCAGATAGACTTATGTGGGCTGGACTTCGCCTAATATATTGTAACACGAGTCGATGGTAGACTTGAAATAGCTAGAAAGATCCGGTGAATAGCTATGACACAGCCTAAGAGTGCAAGGAGTGCGCGGGAGTGAGACATTTTCATTTTTCCCCCTTGGTACCCCTAGAGCATAGCCCTTGAGAACGTGTAGATATCCCCAGTATATGACAATCGTGAACCTAATGGTAACCCAGACTAAAATCTTGAGGGCCTAGCGGCATCCATAGAATAAAGTATTGGAGGATCTAAGAGTACTACAAAATATAGCTCTTGAGAACGTAAGGGTACTCAAATACGTAGTACTCGAGGATCTAAAGTTATCCACAGAATATAGCCCTTGATGACCAAAAAGTATCTCTAGAGTATAGAATTTCAGGACCTAAGGATGCTCTAGAATATAGCCATTGATGACCTAACGGTATCCTCAGAATATAGCGATTCAGGACCTAAGAGTGCCCTAGAATAGAATTCTCGAGAACCAAAGGATATCCCAGAATATTGTTCTTGATGACCTAAGAGTGTCTCCAGAATATAGAGTTTGGGGACCTAAAGGTATTCTAGGATATAGCCCTTGAGAACCTAAGGGTATCCCGAGAATATGGCACTTGAGGACCTAAATAATAAGAGAATGCTAATGGGTCATTGGTGGAGTACGACTGAATACAGGTAGAGTATGAGCGGAGTAGAGTAAATTACAGGTGGAGTAGGATGGAGTACGAGGGGAGTACGGGTGGAGTAGAGTGAAATACGAGTGGAGTATCGGTGAAATGTCGTTGGAGTATGCACTCTTGGAGTATCGCCTTTTCCTCCTTGATGAAGCCTCTTTGGATTATAGCCAAAAGGTAGACCATAAGAAACTGCGCCTTTTTTGGCAGTAAATTCGATTTTTTTCACCAAAACAAAAGGAGGTCTATATGTATCTTAAATCAATCAAAAGCTCCTTGAAAGGCTTGTGTAACTAGACGTATAAAATCCTTTATGAGTGACAAAGGTGAGTTTACTGAAGTTAAAGTAAGCTTTAATTCGTTCTTTATGCGTGAGCAGAAGATATTCTTTGAAAAACATAGTCTATAATCATTCACAAAACTATTTAAGAGCTCACTTAAATAACTTATGGATTCTAATGGATCGAATATTTTTCAAAGCAGTAAAATATATCTTCTAGATGCGCAGTTCATGTCAAAGTATCAAAGTACACGATTCAGTCTTAATAATTCAGCGTTTGAAAACAAATTAAATTTTACAATTCAAAACTCTGCTAGAAAAGCTACCTAGAATTGAATTTCCTTTTTAAGACCGAATAGCTTATGATTCCGCTTAGATCCATCCCCGATCTGTTTTTCTAAAATAAATTGCTCACAATTCCTTCAGCACATTTACAATAACTTGATGATTCTCGACAATAAGTTTAAATTACCAATTTTTCACAATTTTAGCTATTCTTGATATTAGTAGTCAGGCTCCTACTCTATCTACTTCATCTCTCTAATAGCACTATCTACCTCAATACGAGAAATCATTTCACTGATAAATGAAAGTTTCAAAAAAGGTTGACAACTAATGAATCAAATAGCTTGCAATCGTCTCATATGTACTATTTGTCGATGTTATAGAAGCCACATAACATCTTATTGTTTTTGTGCTTTTATGATTAAGCTTAAGTGTAATTGTTCAACTTACTCATTTTCTCTTTGAATTTTGTAATTTTCCATACTAATGTTCCATCATATGAAACGTATCGAAGATCATCAATTTTTTCCTGCATTGATGCTAAATCTTGATGGAGAATGACTTGATTGTATTTCACTGCTTCCAAAAAAGCATTTGATTCTTCAATCGATAATTTTACTTTTGATAATTCTCCTGTCAATTTTGGAATTGTTATTTGAATTTGAAGTGATTCCTGGCTTAGACGTTCTTGGTCATTATTCAATGTTTCAATACCACCTGATAAGATATTGAGCATTTCATAAAGCTCTTGTAATTGAGATGTACCTGGATTACAATCTCCTGAAGTTGTTATTCGAGAAAGATCATTATCTATTTGTCTATCGTTTAATTGCGATAACATCTGACTAACAACTTTGATTATGGCATGTTGATGATGTTCAGTTAAATAATGCTCTTCCGCTTTGACACGGATAACCTTCAGAACAAAAAAATTTTCAGACTTTTTTTATTTGGAGAATATCCATACTTGCTCATTACAACCAAAGTCTTTCAATATACAATCGACGATCAGTTTCTCACATTCGGAGATTTTATGTTCCTTGCATTTGTTGATCGAGTTGAATTCTTCACCACAATATTCGCATTTTGAATTTGAATGATATTCATCTAGATGTTCCTTTAAAAGAAAAAGATAGAATATTCATAAATAAAATTAATATAAAATAAATTACCTGATAATTACTGTGGAGGCCAAATGAAATCCCCCCGACCGTATTTCTATCTTTTTGTTACTATAATATTTCCATTTTTTAATCCACTATATATAGAAAGAAAGCTCGAAACGCGCTGCATCTTTTGGTCTATTTCGATTGAATATCGAATATTGTTCAATATATGAAAAACATATCAGAAGAAAAAGTAAGGTTTTTTTTTACTACAATATATATCGATATCTAGATTATAATCAAAAAAAGCTTTAAAAACATCATTAAGGTCTATCGTAATATTCATCAGTTCCATATATTAAGCCACATTTTCGATAAGCATTTTTAATTTCTTTCTTCGATAACGAATGAAAAGCTTCTGAAAGCAATAATGGTATATCAGCTGCTGCTAATGGATGTTGATTTCGAATAGATTCTCGAAATGAATGCCACAGTGGATTGTCCAATGGTGAAAGATATTTTGCGGATGCTGTTGGCATGTGGAGTATTTGCTTCACTGAATTACATTTTCCAGCTCGTAATGCTTGAATCATATCCATTTTATTATGAGCACGACTTTGATCACAAATCAAATAAATATTGTCGATATTCAGTCTCTCGATTGCTGGTGCTAATGTATCAGTAATCCATTGGTTAATCACCACTTGACGAACACCTTTAAATCTTCGACGTTCACGATCTTCAGGACACAATGTCATGCATGCGATAGGTTGAGATCCGTTAATAGCACCAATAAAATCATATCGTTTGGAATATGCTGAGGGTTGTGTAACCAAGATAAATGGCTGTTGACCAGGAGCAACAAGAGTTTGACGTGGAGGCATAACAGAATAAATAGCTATTTCATCAATAAATATCAATCGATCATTTGCGATTCGTTGTAATGATCTTCGAAATTGACCAACATTGTGCCAAAAGATATCATCATCTAGAAACAAAAAAAAGAGGACATGGATGAGATAATCAAATCATTATTAACTCAATATTTACTAACCATCACGCAATGTGAGTTCACGAGTTTTTTTCCATCGTATACCACATTCTTTACCGTATCGTCTGATGGTACGTATCGATACTTCTCGTTTTAGTGAAGATTCAACATGTGCTTGAACCTTTTTATAATTAACTGGAATACGTTGATTATTCATTGATTTGACAAAGTCTAAAATGTAATTTTCAACTTCTTGTTGTGTCATTGTGCGAGTTCGATGACCTCTAGGTCTCTGATCTAATGAATCGACAGTACCATCCCATCGAGAATACCAGCTCATGATAAGTTTATGTCCACCTGTGATTTTAAAACGTTTGGCTAATGATTTAAATCCACAACCGGAAATTCCACGATCATATTCTTCAAGCACTTTATGCTTGAATTGTGATGTGTATAAATCATATTTACGCATCATAATAACGACAGACAATACAAATTAATATCAAAATACACAATATGTGACAGGATGAAAGATAAGGAATTTAGAATTGATTTAATCGATTCATTACAGCCAGATATTCTATATATACATGTACGTGTACGTGGAAGTAGCACAAGGAAGAGAAGAAAAAGAAAAACGCGTAAGCATTCAAAATATCACGTGTCGGTCAGTATGAGTCGTTAAATAATGTGCTTGTATTTGTAAATGAATAGCTTCATATTTTACATAAACAGAAAAAGCTTGATATCGGTCAGTCTATTGATTCAAATCTTTTTATAGGAAGAATATTATCTAAATGTAAGGTATAAATCGCAAGATCCATTCGAATTAGTATTTTTTGTCATGAAAGAAACCAATCTGACAAGTATATTGTAGTAAAAAAAAACCTTACTTTTTCTTCTGATATGTTTTTCATATATTGAACAATATTCGATATTCAATCGAAATAGACCAAAAGATGCAGCGCGTTTCGAGCTTTCTTTCTATATATAGTGGATTAAAAAATGGAAATATTATAGTAACAAAAAGATAGAAATACGGTCGGGGGGGGTTTCATTTGGCCTCCACAGTACTTTGAGATTAATAGTTTTCTTTGAAAAAGTGAAAACCAAAAAGGCGTGAATACATCAGCAAACATGCAATAAATTACCGTTATCAACTGTAATGAAATTTAGTATTCTTCATCGTTCATTTTTGATTATATTTCCAAGTAGCATAGTTTCAGACAATATCATCTTCATCTGAATTAATTTTTCCATAGGTTATTCTAGTAGAAGTCAATTTTTTTCTTGTCAAACATACATATAAAATCAATCCAAGAGAAGCAAAAAAAAATCATTTGATGGATTGAGTTATTTAAAAAAATGATGTAGATTCTGATTCTAATGGTTCGCTATATCCGTTGAATCGACTCATATCAAAAATGTCCTAGCTCCGCTCTTAGCAGAAATCGCTACCACCGGTCAAACTTTCTGGAAATGCCATTGATTTGTACTTTTGCACACAGACACTCACAAGATTAGATCTTGGGAACAATTTGGTTGGGGACGAAGGAATACAACATCTTGCTAACGGATTACGAAACATCATGGTAACTCTTATTCTCTATTCAACTCTTTCATATCCCCTTTTTCATACAGACACTTGTCACATTAAATCTCATAGATAATAACATCGGGGCTCTTGGAGCACAACACATGGCTATTGCATTACAAAATAACAGGATAACCGCTATTATCTCTTTATATGTCTCACTAGCATATCTCCACGCTTTCATATAAACACTCATCGCATTGAAGTTCCAACTCTGCCAAATTGGAGACGATGGAGTACAATATCTGGCTGATGCATTACGACTTAACATGGTGAGTATAATTCTTTCTTCATGTTTCTCACATTCAGTTCACTTTTTTCTATAGAGTCTCACGACATTGAAACTCAAAAATAATTCAATTAGACAGAAAGGAGCACAACATCTGACTGATGCATTAAGAAATAACACGGTAATTCTCATTCTGTTTTTACCTCTCAAGTATCCGCTTTTCTATTTATTTCCACAGGTTCTCACCACACTTGTTCTTCGATCCAATGATTTGGGAGTTGTTGAAATAAATATTTTGGCTGATGCATTGCGAAATAACTGGGTAAATATGATTCTTTCTTTATCCCTCTCATATCCACATCTCGACCTTTTCATACAGACACTTACCACACTGGACATTAAATACAATCAAATCGGGGACCAAGGTGTGCAATATCTAGCTGATGCATTACGGTGTAATACTGTGAGTATCGTTTTTTCGTCATCGTTCTTATATTTATATCTATACTTTTTTGCAAAGACACTCAAGACACTAAATCTCACATTTAATCACATCGGAAACGTTGGAGTGCAGTATCTGGCTGAGGCATTACGAAGTAATAGGGTAAGTCTCATTATCCATTCAACTTTTTCAAATCCATATTTGTCATTTTTCGCCCAGATACTCAAGGTACCAGATCTCTCATATAATGCAATAGGATATTATGGAACGTCTCATCTGGCTGATGCATTACGAAATAATAAGGTAAGTTTCATGGTCCCTTCATCTTTCTCATATCCACATTTGTCATTTTTCGCACAGACACTCACGACACTAAATCTCGCAAATAATCAAATCGGAGACGACAAGTATACGATCTGGCTAATGCATTGCGTTATAACACAGTGAGCCCGATTTTCTTTTCATCTGTCTCATATATAAATCTCTACTTTTTCATACAGGCAATTACCACACTAGATCTCGGAAGCAATGAAATCACATACGAAGGAGCACCATATCTGGCTAATGCATTGCGAAATAATCGAGTGACTATGATTCTATTTTTATCTCTCTCGTGCTCATATTGTCACCTTTTCATACAGACACTCACCATACTACAATTGGAATACAATGGAATCAAGGATGAAGGAGTGCAATTGCTGGCTGATGCATTACGAAATAATACGGTCAGTATCGTTCTCTCTTTCATTTTTCATATCCGGATCTGTAATTTTTTGTACAGACACTCACCACGTTGAATCTCCAAGCCAATGGAATCACAAATAAAGGGGCACAATATATAACTGCTCTATTGCGAAATAATAAGGCAAGTCTCATTATTTCTTCATCTATTTTATATTTACATCTGCAATTTTATTATGTAGACACTCAGTGAACTGTAACTCTGCGAAAA